TGCTGGGAATAAGCTTCTCAATGAACTGGCGAACCTTCTCGCGAACCGTAGAAACCAAAGCTGGTGCATGTCTAGCCAAGTCGATGTAACGAACAGCATACTCCGAGACAGTCATAGTACCCTGGCCCAAATGCTCAAACTTCGCACGCCAGGCATCCCTAAGACTCTGGGGGACATACTCCCTCGTGAACATATCTGAAAACCGAGTCCAAGTCAGGGAAGCTGCCTCATCCGGACTTTCTAACTCATAAGCACGCCACCACTAATAGGCGGCTCCTCGAAGCTGGAAAGTAGTGAAGGAAACCCCGCTCAATCCTGATATGACCATAGTACAGAGAATACGGTAGCACTCCTCCAGAAATCCCAAGGCATCCTCCGATGCTATCCCACTGAATACAGGAGGATCATATTTCTTGAACCTCTTAAGTCTCCGCTGCTCATCCTCTAAAGTCGGTGCCCTGTCCTCGGGCTGAACTGGCACTGCAGGCGGTGCAGGAATAACCTCTGGGACCTGATCAACATGCACTTGCTACTCAGGAGTGCGGGCGGCGGGAGTCTGTGCTCCTCCCCCGGCCTGGGATGTGGCTACAGCAAAGGGAAGCAACCCTGCCTGTGCCAAAGTGGTGTACATCCTCATAAACTGTGCCAAAGTCTCCTGGAGTGCAGGAGTACTAGTGGCAGATGTATCAGGTGTCTGGACTCCAGCTGGTACTGCTGGTGGTACCTCAGCGGCAGCTCGCACGGGTGCTCTGGCTGCACTACGAGCGCGTCCTCGGCCTCTACCCCGGCCCCGGCCCCGGCCTCTGATGGCTCCAGTAGGGGGCGCGGGTGCCTGGTCATCTCGAGCAGCACGTGTCCTCACCATCAGTGAGAGAATAGAAAGACAGAAGTTTAGAATTGGGATATCAAAAATCTCGCACGACAAGGAACTCAAATGAAGTGAAATTTTTTCTAACAGTTACATAGCCTGTCGTAGATAAGTACAGACGTCTCCGTACCGATCAGCGAGACTCTAATAAATCGGCTTGTGATCCATGACTCCTATGAACCTAGAGCTCTGATACCAACTTGTCACAACCCCAGTTCGTCCTCCGTGAACTATCTGACGGCACCTAGTCTCTATGATTAGTCAAGCCTAACAAATGCGAAAAACAACTAATCTTGCGGAATAAATAATCAAAAGCCAATGAACTAAAAGAAATAGTATTTAAATGTTGCTGGCATATACACACAACTTTCCAAAGTCAGATACACAATCCCAAAACCCGGAAACTCACGGATCCACAAGCCGAGAAAAACACTACATAGCTCTAATCTCCGGAATGTCTAATCAAGAACATAAAGTACAGCAGGGCTAAACACTAAATGCAAGAATAGAAAAAGACTCCTCAGTCTGCGGACGCGGCAGATATACCTCGAAGTCCCGCAGAATCGCCTCGCCTCAAGAATGATAAGCCTGAGTAGAGGTACCTGGATCTGCACATGAAAAACATGAGCAGGAAGGGCATGAGTACACCATATCGGTACTCAGTAAGTGCCAAGCCTAATCTCGGTTGGGTAGTGATGAGGAAGATCAGAGCCCTACTGAGGTTAAATAAGGTATAAGGTTTAATAGTGTGAATAACAGTGTAAGTGAGTAACACAAGATATAAAGGACATCAACAACTATCACAGAGGCAAGTAAAACACAGTAAAAGAGCACAACTCAGCTCCAAGATAACAACCGGGGATCTCCCAAGATACCGTCCTGTAGTCCCCAAATATAAATATCATCTCCAGTGGATCTCCCGGGTGCAGTCCCGTAGTCCAACGCATGAATGTGCAGGGGGATCTCCCGGAATACAATTTTGTAGTCCCAAAGTAAACATATAGGGGAGCTCCCGGGATACCGTCCCGTAGTCCCAAAGTAAAAGTGCAGGGGGATCTCCCGGAATACCGTTCCGTAGTCCCAAAGTAAATACACAGCAACAACAAGAATTCAATCCAATCAATTTCATATCAAAGTGATGCAGGTAATCCTAACCTAGCATGATTCACGTAATACAATTAAGGCAGTTAAGGCAAATAGAGCAATTTAGTCAAGTAGACATGTTTCTCTAAGCTATAGCAGGTTTAATGTCCAAACAGTGTAAGCAAGAAAAGGAAGAACACAATTCAAGGCTATCTTTAAAGAAAATCGGATTCGCAACAGTTAGCACAAGTACGCGCTCGTCACCTCACGTACGAGGCATTTCAATTACCAAAATATATATCCTAAGGGGAAAAGTCCCCCACACAAGGTTAGACAAGCCACTTACCTCGAACAAGTGCAAGTCAACCCGAAACCACGCCTTTGCCACGAGTATCCAACTCCAGATGGCTCAAATCTATTCAATTAAATTTCATAAATGTAAATAACACCTCAAGAAACTGATTCTATAATTAACTTCTAAGCTAATACGCGAAATTAGGTAATATGACCAAAATGCCCCTCAGGCCCACGTCTCGAAACCGGATAAAATTTACGTTTTCAGAAACCTCGTACTCTCACGAGTCTATACATAACAAGAACACTGATATCGGGGCCCAAACGTCCCCTCAAATCCTCATTTAAAGGCCTCTTAAACTCAAGCCCTAATTACCCATTTTTCCCAAATTTCTTATCACTAGTTAGGTCTTTAATCACATAAAAACGAGTTATGAAGTCAAGGACGTTACCTCCAAGCGATTCCCCTTTTTTTTCTCAAATATCTCTCTCAAAAGCTTCAAACCCGGATGAAAATGGTGAAAGAATGGCTCAATTTTGTGAATGCAACTATTTATATGTTCTGCCCAGCTAATTCCGCATTTGCGGCCCTAGGCCGCATCTTTGGTTCCGCTTCTGCGGAGACTTAGTCGCATCTGCGACTTTTCATTAACTGACCAGAAATCCACATCTGCGATTACCCTTTTGCAGATGCGCCACCGCTTCTGCGGTATTCCTTCCGCATCTGCGGAACCTGAAGGAAAGGCAAAAATCCGCTTTTGCGGGCTCCTTAGCCGCTTCTGCGATGCCGCATCTGCGGTCCCCAAACCGCAGATGCAAAAATACCAGAAGAAGCAAAACAAAAATACAACAGCTGCTACATTTCCTCAACTCCCCGTTAACCATCCGAAATCACCCCGAGGCCCCCGGGACCTCAACCAAAAGAACAAACATCACCTAATACCTTATTCAAACTTGTACTAATCTTCAAAACACTCCAAACAACATCAAAATAACCAAAACACATCGGATTCAAGCCTAAGTTTCTAAACTCCTCCGAATTTCGCTTTTGATCAAAAATCCAACCAAACCACGTCCGAATGACCTGAAATTTTGCACACACATCCCAAATGACATGATGGAACTACTATAACTCACGGAATTCCATTCCGACCCTCGGATCAAAATCTCACTATCGAACCAGAAACTTCAAAATTCGACCTTTCGGCATTTCAAGCCTAAATTAGCTATGGACCTCCAAAACACAATCCGACCACGCCCCTAAACCCGAAATCACCTAACGGAGCTAACAGAACCATCGGATTTCCATTCCGAGGCCGTCTTCATACTGTTCCAACTATGGTCAACTTTCCAATACTTAAGCTCTCATTTAGGGATTAAGTGTCCCGAAAACGAAACTCAAAAACAAACATCTCGGCAAATCGAAATAGCAGAAATAAACTTGGAGGAAGCAGTTAATAGGGGATCGGGGCGTAAATTTCAAAAACGACCGGCCGGGTCGTTACATTCCATCCTTTCACGACGGCATCCACCAACATAGCAAACGAATCAATGGAGTTAGGAGCTAAGTTGTAATACCAGATCATAGCTCTTTTGATAATGTTTCCCCAAACTTTTATAACAATACAGACTCGATTTCGTCATCATTCAGGTCATTTCCTTTAATTCCACAAGGGTAAGAAGTAATATGTTCGTTGGGGTCAGTTGTCCCATTGTACTTTGGTATATCTGGCATGGGGAACTTCTTGGGAATGGGCATCGGAGCCGCACTTGGGGGGAAAGATTTTTGTATGAATTTTTTGGCGTCTAAACCCTTCAAAATTGGAGGTGCTCTCGGTATCTTGTCTACTCGGGAGTTGTAAGTTTCCACCTTCTTGTTGTTGTCTTCTATCTTCTTTTCTCCAGACTCGATTCTCTTAGCCAGTTCCTCGAGCATTTTCATAATTGTGGGGTCAGTCCCCGAGCCACTTTTATCAGGCCTTTCCAGCACTAGTCCATGCTGTGTGTTTACTGGCTCGGCGGTGTTAGGAGTTCTCATCTGGCTCTGAAGTTGAGCGATGGCAACTTGCTGAGCCTGCAGCATCTCGAATATCACTTGGAGGCTGACTCCTCCTTCTTCCAGTCCTCGTGCTTCCTGGCCTCCGGCTCGGGTTTCCCTGTGTGCGTTCCTTGCGGGGTCTGTGCCTGCGTCCGTGTTTAGTGCGTTGTGGGAGCTAATGTCAACTGGATCCACGTTTGGCACTCCTTCAGGGTTTACGGGAGGTACACCGAGCCCTATGCCGTTGTTTTCTCCAAGTCCTTCACTGTCGTGAGCGGGTGCATTTTGAGTGCTAGACATGACTAAGCTAAGAGTCTTTGACAAGAAAAAGTGTAAAGAATAACGTGTGTTATCAGAAAACTAGCACTAAAATAATCACTATTATCTTTAGCCCCACGGTGGGCGTCAAACTGTTTACCTCGAAAAATGTAAGAAACAATTAAAGATGATTTGTGATTTTAAAGATACGTGATATATTCTAATACTAGTGATTATATGAGTAATATTGAGGTTAAGTAAGAAGAAATAAAGAACCAAATTGATGTTGTTGGAACTGTAGGGGGCCTCGAGCTCGATTATCCAGGGACCTCGAGATCAGCTAAGAGTAACAAAGTATGAACAATAAAGTAAAAGGCAACAAAGCTGAAAAGTAACTGCTGAGCACGTTAAACAAGAGAAGAATAAGAATGTTCTATTGCAGTGATGATCTGATGCCCTTACAATAATCATTGGAGTCTCCTTTATATAGGAGGAGAAAACCCTAACATAGTACCTTGCTCATAAAGGTAAAGAATTCTATTGGTACAAGTGTATAACGGCCTAGTACGGACTTATACCTTTTTGTACCACCCTTATCCTATAATTAATGTTCAGGTCCACGTATTCTTTAGAAATTTCCACTCTTTCACTTCGAGATTGCGACGCCCTCGATGCAAATCGCGCCAGGCCCTCGATCAGCTTCCTCGAGGCGGAAGTTCCTTAGCCAGATCTGATCTCCAGTTCGAATCTCCCGGACTCGAACTCATAGCCTGATTTAAGACTTCAAAATCATGCTCCCTCGATTTTGAGGGTATACACTAGTAACACAATCCCCCTTTCCATTAGCTCGTTTAAATAGCATAGCGACGCTGAAAAGCAGAATAAACCAATGCCTAAACCATTTAACTTATATGAGCAAACCTTCAAAGTGTTTATATTTTATTACTTAAAAAATTACATATGTAAAACTTTGATTTATATGCTGGTTTAAAGGCTTTTCAAAATGCAATTCTGTTATGATGGAAACAATCATTAATGATTCAAAAAGTTATATATTAATTGATCTGCCTATGGATTATTTCTTGAGATGAATAAGCAAGGAATCATGGGGAATCTAAATTAGAAAATACGTGGCATGAAAGAATTGATAAAAACTATATTTAATATAATCTCCAAATGACAACCTTCTTAGCTGCTGAGAGATTTCCAAATGTATCACCTAAATCAGAGAACTGGGTCAAAGCTCATTTTAGTCCTGCATAGAGCAACAATTCTCAAGCTCTACAACATCTCAATATCTCATTCTCATTACCTATCTCATTTGAGCATAAATGACTCAGATAAGAAAGACGATTAGCTGAAAATATTACAAATGTTAGAGTTACCAAGAATCTTTGGTAGAGAAACGCACACGCCATTATCCAATACCTTACCTACAGAGAATAGATTAAGGGATATCAGAACTATACAATAAGTCTTAAGGGAAATTAGTTCCATCTCTCAATTGACAAGTTAAATACATAAATTGATTTTGGTTCATACATACTTGTTAAGACATGTGATGTCTCTGCAAAGACTGAAAGGCTAGCCTCAAATGGAAGCACATGCTTAGAATAGCCATCATCATACTATTAATCATATCTAGAAGAAGCTGCAGAATTAATATTAGTAGGATATTTGCAACTTTTGGTACTTTTACTTCCAAAAAGAAACTTAGGCACTCAGATATCTTGATCTCATTAGGAATTCTAAGATACCCTACGTCTTATCAAAGAAATAAAAGAAAGACAAATAATTACATTATTTAAGAAGAAACAATAAGAAAATTAGAGCGTAGAAAGACCAAAAAGACCGATAATTTCATATGAGCGGGGCTGATAATCCAATGCAGCAACAACAATAATTGGTTGGCCAGGTAATTAATGACGAACAACTCATGTTCTCTCGCAAAACATCTCTTCTTTGTTAACAAGCTTTTAATAAGAAGTTCCACACTGACATGAGCTGCATGAAAATATAAAAATATTTGGATAACATACAAAAACTTTTTATTAGAGGACCTTTTACTAAAGCAAATCAATGAATCAAACAATCAAAACTGATCACAAGATGTCATTTGCTAGGGGATGATAGACAAAATAATTACAGAAATCATTTTTGCTTGAATCCACATTAATATATACTCCAACAAAGATATTGACACAAAAGGAATTATTAACCACTGAATGTCGAGGAAATTGCCACTTTTATCACTCTTTCTCATTTAGGCATGTCTGGAAGAAAGAACTTCTTTTTGGTTTAACAGCAAGAAGTCATGAAATAAATAAAAGAGCTGCCTCGCTAAATTTTCCATTCAGGCAAGTCGTGAAGAAGGAAAGTTGTTGTTTATTTAACAGCATGATGTCATGAAATATATATAAAGTTTTGCCTCACAACACCGAACCAATAGTAACTCTACAACTTTTTAGTGTTGTAGTATGTACTTTTAAACATCAAATTTCAATCTTAAGGTACTGATGCTTTTTATTTATCCAAAATTGTGCAAACTTTGTTATTTGAAAGCTAAATTTTGCATCATTCTTTTCTTAAAAGGAAATAAAGTATTTCATTAATATAAAAACGAAAGCACTAAGGGGTTGCTTGGCATTACCAAATGTTACATCATTCTTATCTCAACAAAAGAGTTGCAGTAGAAATCTCATCTTTCTTTTGTCACTTGGCCCTATATTACTCTCCCCACTGGTTTTTATTTTCTTTTTAAAGACGCACACTCAATAATTGAATAAGGCTTTACTCCTAACAGTATGAGCTAATATATAGCGTGTCATGTGGATGACATTTCATTACACCCTTCCATACTTTATCAATTATTAAAAATTCTAATTCAACTCAAATAGGCCAAAAGATCATACTTGTAGTGTTGAAGATAAATCACAGACATCCTATTTATTTATCGATACTCAAAGGTAGAATACTTGACGCTTACATTGTTTCATTGTGGAGAAAATGTCAAAAGCAAGCATTGAAAATTAAAGTCTATAACAAGCAACTTTTATAAACGATATGTACCTTGGGGTTTGAATGAAGATGCCTAAATTATAAAAACCCTATGGAAAAATAATGGAACCATACAAATTGTTCAACACTTTCGGGCATATTATCAAACAGTGTGCAACAATGTTCTTCATCTTTGATTAATATTTTTGTTTCTGATAGCAAAATAATTGGAACAAAAGTCAAAAAGTCAGTGCATGCAACATGATTACAACCCAAATACCAAATGAAGAAGCAAATATATATAGATATCTAACAAATTGAAAAGAAATCAACAACAGGACACTCAAAAAATAGGAGAACAATTGCAGCATAAAATGACCTCAATCGCATATAGTCAACTGGGTCTTCGTTGGATTTCTCTGTTACTTTTATCTTTGATGTCAAATTTGATACTTTTCAAGTTGCCAACGGAGAATGAGGCAGAGAGATTTTGGAGTTCTTTTTGACACAGAGAGAGATAGAGAACAATCATGTTGATTTTTGGAGCTTCAGTGGAAGAGCAAAGAGGGTTGTAGAACCTATACGATAGAAACTCCTACAAGAAAGAGAGTGTATCCAACAGGGCTCAATGTTGCCTTAATTTACTAAAATCTTAAGGTCAATTACAGTAATTGTTTGAAAACTAATTCAAAGTTGAAGTAGGAAAGCTTAGTGTGACGATCCAAAGGGTCATCACCTATTTTCTCTTTCATTTCCGCACTTCCGAGGCCTTGAAAACCTCATTTTTACTTGCCTTGATTTGCGTGCGCAGTCCGGGCGCGTAGCTGAAAAGATTATGTGTTAAATTCTGTGAAAAAATTCAAAATGTGGCTTTAAAATGATTAAAGTTGACTTCGGTCAACATTTTTGGTAAACGGACCCGAACCCGTGATTTGACGGTCCCGGAGGGTCCGTAGAAAAATATGGGACTCGGGCATATGCCCGGAGTCGAATTCCGAGGTCTAGAGCCCGAGAAAAGAATTTTTCTGTGAAATTATTTTTCTGGAATTGTTAAGGAAATTGGAAATGAAAATTTATTAAAAGACTATGGTATCGGGCTCGTATTTTGGTTCCGACGCCCGGTACAAGTCTTATAAAAGGTTTAAGCGCTATCTGTAAAGTTTGGTTGAAAACGGACGTCGTTTGACGTGTTTCGGACTTAAAAATGGAAAATTTGTGTTCGATGAAAAAGTTGGAAGAAATCTTGTGATTTGAGGCTTGATTCTATGTATATGATGTTATCTTGGCGATTTGATCGCTCGGTTAAGTTCGTAGGATGTTATTGAGTTAGTGTGTGCGTTTGGTTAGGAGCCTCGAGGGCTCGGGAGTGATTCGGAGGTGGTTCAGAGTGGTTTTGCACTTAGAAATATTGCAGATTTCCTTCAGCTGTTGCAGGCACCCATTTGTTCTACGCGTTTGCGTTCTTCCATATGCGTTCGCGATGCCCACTGAGTCCCCTTCTTCGCGTTCGTGTGCCTCTTACGCGATCGCGTAGGCCAACGCAGCCCCCCCCCCCAGTAATTCCTTCATTGCGTTCGCGAACTCGTCCTCGCGTTCGCATAGTATCAGCTCACCCTTCATCACGTTCGCGTATGTACCCATGCGTTCGCGTAGAGTAAACCCAGGATCCCTGCCTTTTTCCTTCTACGCATTCGCGTTTCCTCCCACGCGATCGCGATGCAGACCCAGCTTACCCTTCGCGAACGCGGCCCCTTTCCCGCGAACGCGAAGGGCATTTTTGCCCAGTGATTTTTAAAGTTCAAAAATAGAACAGTTACGGGATTATTCCCATTCTTTTATAAAACTTGTCTTCTCCAAGCTCTAGGGGCGATTTTACAAGCTCTTCTTTACCAAAGTCTTTGGGTAAGTAATTTCCCACCTAATTCCTTCACTCTTCTTCATTAATTACTGAAATCCTAGACCTAAATCATGAAATCAAAGTAGAAATTAAGGATTTTGGGTAGAGTTAGGTTTTTGAGAATTTTGGGTGATTCAACCTCAATTTGGGGTCGAATCTTAAAACAAATTGTATATTTGAACTCTTGGGGTTATGGGTGATTGGGTTTTGGTCCGAGCCTCGTGTTTGGACCATGTGGGCCCGGTGTCGAATTTTGGTATTTTTGGAGGGATGCTAGAAACTTCATATCTAGGTTATGGGATTTTGTTATTGAGTCTTTATTGATATTATTGAATTAATTATGCCTAGATATCGTGGTTTCGGAGTCGGATTTTAGAGGAAAGGCGGTATTTGAGGGTTGAATGCTATTCTTTGGACCGAGGTAAGTGTTTGATCTAACTTTGGCTTGAGGGAATAGGATTAGAGTATTATTTTGCTAATTGCTAAATGTTGAGTACGGTGTATAGGCATGGTGACGAATATCTATACACTGGTGTCTAGCATGACCGTGAGTCCTTACTTGTACGTAATCTGATTTTGTTGCGACTCTTCCATGCTTAATTGATAAATTCTATGTAATGTGAAGAGTAAGGAGACTAATTATGAATTGTAATTTCTTTGGAGCGTTGGCTCAAACGATAAAAAGACTATTGAGTAAGAAATGAAAGAAATAGAAAGAGATATGATTAATCCCTTGCCGGGATGGTTTGAGTATATTGATTATCTCCCCTGCCGGGATGTGAAGGTTATTGTTGTTGCTCCCTTGCCAGGATTTAGCTGTTTACTTGTGTTTTTCCGTTGCCGGGACATTTCTCATTATTTGTTTGTCCCCTCGCCCCGTTTGGTTGTGATTACTGTTTAGGTGAGGAAGAGTGATAATGCACGAATGGTCATTCTGTGCCATGTTTGATTATATTTGCACGAAGGGTCATTCCGTGCCATGTTTGATTATATTTGCACGAAGGAAAGAGTGATAATGCACGAAGGGTCATTCCGTGCCATGTTTGATTATATTTGCACGAAGGGAGACTTAGAGAATATTTTAAAACATGCGATGAGTTTGGCATAAGAGAAAGAAAGGTTCCTAAAGCTTGTCCAACTAGATGGAATGACATGTATGAAAGTTTAGTTGTTGCATATGAATATAGAAACCCCATAAACTCAAGTTAATGCTCATGTAAGTGATGATGATGAGCACCTTACAAATGTGGATTGGGCTAATGTTACAATGCTTGTAGAGTTTTTAGAAACATTTCACGTTGCTACAAATGAATTTTCTGGGCAATATTATCCTACTATTTCGAACTGTTTAGTTTATCTTGCAAATCATGCAAATTTATTTGCTCATTTTTCAGAGGGTGGGAAAATTTATGAAGTAGCTATTGATTCTATGAGAAATAAATTTAAAAAATATTTTTTCCCTATTCCCACTATTTGTGGTATTGCTGCATTGTTAAATCCTACTATGAAATTAGGTGTCCTCAATATTGGTATTGATCTATTTATAATGGTATAGCACTTGCACCTGAGGAGTACTTTGCACTTTCGGACGCACAAGCCTCAATTAAAATAAATGCTCTAACTATTTATAGTGCTTATCAAATTGCACTAGATAATGCTAGACCAGATATTCCAACTCATTCTTTTTCTAGTTCTCAATCATCTAAAAGAACTGCATGAGTAAGAGCACTTAGTTCTTGGAACGAGTTCAAGGGTTCTCAAGGTTGTACCACTAGTGATTGTTCACAACTAAATGAGCTTGAAGTTTATTTGTCACAGGGACTTGAGCAAGAGAATCCCGACGGCTCATTTAATCTTTTGGAATGGTGGAAGGCCAAAGAAAAATACTTTCCGGTCCTTTCAAGGATGGCCCGGGACATTTAAACCATTCAAGCTTCAACAGTGGCATCGGAGAGCGCTTTCAGTCAAGAAAGACTACAACTCGGTAATTATAGAGCGTCTATGAGGGAGAGCTTGGAAAAATCAGTACTTTTCAGAGATTGGATCCGTTCGGAACGAAGAAATTTTTGACTTGCTGAATCACAACCAGAGGTAGATGAAGCTTACGAAG